TGTTAAGTCTAGCTTGTCTTTTGTATTTAGTCCTCGTCTGAGTCAGTCTTCCCCAGACTCGTCATTGTATTGTCCGTAGATGTCCGTCTCCCGTCCAATAAAACCACGTTTACCTGAAGTCCTGGCTGCAACTCGCCTGTTTTCTGGCTCGCCTGACCCCGAACGTGACATATAACGTTTTATTAAAAGTACAGTGTTGACCCGAATATAAAAGTTTTTTTTACTCAAAATAAAATGCTTCAGAAAAAGTGGTGTCGCCTTATATTCGGGGTCTAGACCGAAAAGGGGAATAGACATTACTTAACGTAATGTTTCTTGCGTGAGCGCGAGAGTCAAAAAATGTGTGTCATGCCGGATCCGTGAGAGTCGGCGACCCTGGAAAAACGTGTGTTTAGCCGGTATCGCGTTGTGTAAATTGCTGGCTTATCCGGCTGTGCCGCTGATAGTATTAAACTGATAGTGGCTCTTAAGATGAGGTTATAGTAACATTCGTAAGAGCTGTCATACCATTTATTAATATGGCTCAACCTTTCTCCGCAATACGTTTTTACCCATTTCATGTGGGTCTGCTGCATTGACAACATTCTATGCCCTCAAGGGTTGTGGGATTTGTAATATTCGGTACGGGGGAGCGCGGGGCGGGTGTCCTTTATTCGAGTCAATACGGTAATTGAGCAAGTTGCCGCAGCACGTATCACCGACTCTTCGGATTAATTTAAACTAACAGTTCGATGGAATCGGTTCTGTAAATTAAATTAAACTTCCCGTCCTTAGTAAGCAGGGCTCTCGAGTTTCACGAATTGACCGTGAGACGCTCCGCATCTAATCTCACTCCAGGGCTCACTGATAAAACTTCAGAGCACTGAAATTTGTGTGGCGCACGCATACACGTAGTATTACGGTATCACATCACGTTTAGGAAAATAAACGAAAGTTTATTTATTTTTACGAAAGTTTTGAGAATGACACACGTATTTTTTTTTGTTTTGACAATTACATCAAGTTTAAGCAAAGAGTCAATATTTTTAGTGTTGGCCCTTCTTTTTCAAGACCTCTGCAATTTGCCCTAGCATGCAGTCAATCAACTTCTGGGCCAAATCCTGAGTGATAGCAGCCCATTGTTACGTAATCAATACTTGGACTCAGAATTTGTGGGGTTTTGTTTGTCCACCCGCCTCTTGAGGATTTTTCATCATCAAATTGCTCTTGGATGGTTGGGAGAAGTTGCTCTCGGAGGATGTTTTGGTACTGTTCTTTATTCATGGTTGTGTTCTTGGGCAAAATTGTGAGTGAGCCCACTCCCTTGACTGAGAAGCAACCCCACACATGAATGGCCTCAGGATGCTTTACTGTGGGCATCACACAGGACTGATGGTAGCGCTCACCTTTTCTTCTCTGGACAATCTTTTTTTCCGGGTGACCCAAACAATCAGAAAGGGGATTCATCAGAGAAACTGACTTTACCCCAGTCCTCAGCAGTCTAACCCCTGTACCTTTTCCAGGATATCAGTCTGTCCTTAATGTATTTCTTTGAGAAAAGTGGCTTCTTTGCTGCCCTTCTTGACACCAGACCATCCTCCAAAAGTCTTCGCCTCACTGTGTGTGCAGATGCACTCACACCTGCCTGCTGCCATTCCTGAGCGAGCTCTGCACTGGTGGTGCCCTAATTCCGCAGCTGAATCAACTTTAGGAGATGGTCCTGGTGCTTGCTGAAATTTCTGGGGCGCCCTGAAGCCCTCTTCACAACAATCGAACCTCTCTCCTTGAGGTTCTTGATTATCCAATAAGTGGTTGATTTAGGTGCAATCTTACTAGCAGCAAAATCCTTTCCTGTGAAGCCCTTTTTGTGCAAAGCAATGATGACTGCATGTGTTTCCTTGCAGGTAACCATGGTTAACAAAGAACAATTATTTTAAGCACCACCCTCCTTTTAATGCATAAGTCAGCTATTCTGACTCAATCGGCATGACAGAGTGATCTCCAGCCTTGTCAACATTGTCACCTGTGTTAACAAAAGAATCACTAAAATGATGTCAGCAGGTCCTTTTGTGACAGGGCTGAAATACAGTGGAACTTGTTTTTTTAGATTAAGTTCATTTTCATGGCAAAGAGGGACTTGGCAATAAATTGCAATTCATCTGATCACTCTTCATAACATTCTGGAGTATATGCACATTGCCATCATAAAAACTGAGGCAGCAGACTTTGTGAAAATTAATATTTGTGTCAAATCTTTTGGCCACGGCTGCAAACAAAAGTTGTCATATATATGAAGTACAGGATGTACTAAAATAAAATGAAATTCTTACTTTCCCATCATGCAAAACGCAAATCATATACCATCTGAAAGGGATGGTCCTAAGCTATTTCCAGACTAAATTTAGACGCAACAAGTCAAGTTCGTCGAGGAATCAATGTTGAAATGGACTTTGGGCCGACCCGCCAGACGAACAGTGGACCTCACTCCTTTGTTCACCACCAGCCTTAACGTAATACCGTGCATCTGGTAAGGTTGCTTTTAGGCTAGCTGTGTCTTCCTTCTACAGCGCTGCCTGTAGAAATCCTAAATGGCTGTGATCAGGGGCGATCTGCTGTGTCTTCCTCATGCAGCACTGCCTGTCGATGTCCTAGATGGCTGGGATCAGAGAGGATCCACTGTGTCTTCCTCCTGCAGCACTGTCTGTAGAGGTCCTGGATGGCTAGCAGTTCACACTTGGTGATGCGTTGCACTGATCTGACCACCCTCTGTAGAGCTTTGCCGTCCAGAGCATTACAGCTGCCATACCAGGTCAGTTGGTGAGTATTCTGAAGATCATGACAAACCTCCTCAGCCTCCATAGGAAAAAGAGCCACTGTCTTACTGCATTTGTGATCATACCTACATTGTGTGACCATCTTAGATCCTCACTGATGCTAATCCCCAAGAATCTAAATCAGCTGACTCTCTCCACCTCTGTTCCCTTGATGTGGATATGGGCACGCCCTCCTCCCTGCAGTCTCCTGTAGTCCACAATGAGCTCCTTGGTCTTGCTGACGTTGAGCAGCAGCTTGTTGTCCCGACACCGTGATGTCAGGACTCTCCGCTCTGCTCTGCAGACAGGCTCTTTACCAACTGATATGCAGCCGATGATGGTGGTGTCACCTGCAAATTTTAATGATGGTGCAGGAGCTGTGTATGGCCGTACGGTCGTGGGTGAACAGGCTGTGCAGTTGGGGGCTGAGCTCACATCCCTGGAGGGCACCAGTGCTGAGTGTCAGTGTGGAGGAAGTGACACTGCTGGTACCACTTGTGGTCTGCCTGTTCAGGATCCAGTTGCACAGGGAGGCACTGATGCGCAGATCACGGAGCTTCATGACAAGCCTGGCTGGAATTATGGTGTTGTAAGTCAAGCTGTAGTCAATGAACAGCATCCGCACGTACATGTTGGTCTGGTCCAGGTGGGAGAGGGCAGTGTGCAAAGCGAGCGCTAGGGCAGTGTGCAAAGCGAGCGCTAGGGCAGTGTGCAAAGCGAGCGCTAGGGCAGTGTGCAAAGCGAGCGCTAGGGCAGT